CTGCGGAACCAGAATCTTATCCAGAAAGTGCCTCCTGCTGACAATTGCCTAGAAGAGGAAGATGAAGGTAACAGACTGCCTGCCTGCCCTGTGGCCCTTCATTCACAACTCTCCAGAATCCAGTGGTCAGGCCTGAGTTAGCAGCATATTTCTTGCCAGCAGCTGTTAAAAGCCAAAAAGGAGATTCATCTGAACCTTCTGCTTCAGGTAACTTGACAACTGGTTTCTTAGGAATTACTAGGAAATGCACTAGAGCATGGAGTTAAATACCATGGGAAACAAGGCATGTACTTGGGATCAAAGATGGATTAAATCACAGCTTGTGTTTCTCCTATAATTCCAGGTACTATAATTATTATAATATTTATGTGCTGTTTTCTCAAATTTCAGATAACTTTATAACTAAAACAACGTTTTTTAGGCTCTGAAATTCTTACATCTCTGCAGTAACCTAGGAAGCTACATAAACTCTTACCTATTAAAAAAAGGTCAATTGAAAAGAGCTTGTTATAGCAATGTTTCTAATCCGAAAATATGGGACACTCACTCAAACACAAATTTCTCTACCTGCCTTGGGTCAGTTTGCAAATGCAAAACAATTAAAAAAGAATTTGTCCAGTCTCTTTTTTTCTGATACTGCACAGACTGATCAAGTAGAAGCAGTACCGAAGTATGGAGGATTGCAATGTGGGGAGACAAACATGAGATGCTTAGGAAATGTATGTTATTGCTGAGAGTAAGATACTGATACTAAATTTATGAAACTGCAAAATGACTTAAGATATTATGACAGAATATTCCTGGTAGGGTAGGAGTCATGTCAGTGATAGAACAGGAAAGGACATTTTCACTGCACATGTAATCTGTGCTGTGACACTATCCATAGGAAACTGCTGCAAATTATAGTAACTCTGGGGTTGATCTTGGATCTAAATACGACAAAACCCCACGGCTTTCAGTTATCTTTGTCTTGCTTTGCACAGCAGCACCTTTGCTCATCTTCAAAATAAAAGTGCAGCACATAATTGGAGCACCCTCCTTCCCTACCTTGCATCAGTGCTTGCCTAAACCATCATATTTGTGATCACCTATATTAGGAATATGGCATTTTACAAAATACTGAAGTTTAATGGCAGTAGTCCAAGACCAATTAAAGGATAGCTTAAGTAATACCAAAGGTCTGCACACTGTACAGGAAAAAACTGGCTATAGCCACATAGGCTTGTCTTTTCATTATTAGCAAGAATATCTTTCTATGAGGAAATAGAAAACATTTCAGTTCTGAGAGACACTGTGCATGCAAACTACATGATGCTGCAACTCATGGTGCAAATACAGATGCTGACCTAAATCCTTCAAAAAGCATACCTAAAACCCAGAAGAAGGTCTTAAGTATTTATTCTGAGGGACATAAGAGGTCTTGAAATTAAACTGTCTACCAGGATAACCACGACTAATTACCTCAATTTGTCTTACATCTGAATCACCCTTGGGAGAAGCAGAACTGAAAGAAGTTCCAATCATTGCATTAAGATTGCCTCAATGAAGATCTTGCAGACAGGCTGGTCAGGAGTTTCACCAGTCTGGACACAGATATAAGTCTAAATTCATGAATAGGCTCTCCTACCAGAATGGACAAAGAGGGAATAGAACCGCAGTCCTCAAGACCTAGTCATGGAACCATCCCAAAAGCAACTACAGCGCATATGAATCTTCAAGTCACCAGGTAGCATCACACAGCCAAGTGCCTGCATTATCTGCAGTATAATTTGAAGGCAAATTAGCTCCTAATTTGAAAGAGGAGTTGCTCATACTAACAAGACTACGTTAAAGGGAGATTTGGTGGAAAAACCTATTCCCTTTTTTTTTTTGGATGGCACATATGACCATTGTTGATGTTGGGGAACCTTACATATTACTTTCCCCTGGAGAAGGTGGGGAGGGATAAGATCAAAATCTTGGCATCTGTTAACATTGGAGATCAAGGATAGACGAACAAAAACATCACACACAATGTCCCTGGTAGAAGCTGGGAAGGAGCTCCAGTATACAAGAAAGACGAAATACTTTTAGGGACATAGAAAACCACAGAGAAAAAAAAAAAGGTCATTAGTAAAATAAGTGCCTTATTTTTTCTTCAGTTCCTATACTTGGTCTGCATTATATAAGACAAGGGTTGAAAATGCTGATGCAGTAAGAGGACCCATTTTATGCTACCAGAATTTCTACAGAGAAGGAGGACTCTGTGTATGATGACATTTTCCAAGAGAGGGCTGCTTTAACTAGAATAATCCTGCTGGTAATCAGACCTAGGAATGGGCATTTGTACTGTGATGAGGTGACAGCAATCTATTGCATGAGGATAAGAGCCAAGGTCTAACCTAAAAGAGCAAGGCTCCAAGAACCAAGGCAAAATGAAGGCAATCTCTAAGAGGATGCACTGTCATCTTTCCTACCTTTCCCTTAGGTACACTGGCAGATGCTGTATTTTCTTGGGTTATGTTCATTACTCAACTGACACAAACGTCTAGTAAATTCATTAGAGGAGACTATAGCCTCTTCAACGTGAAAGAAAGGAAAACACAACTAAACTCAAAACTGGACTATTCCTGTGTTTAACACTCTTTGTAAACTCTGAAAGGGACAAAAGATCTCCTATTTTATCATCAGTTTATTTCTATAAAGGATCTGTCAAAGAGTTATCAGACAGATATACTGTCTGGAAATCGCAGAACAATGCACACCAAGTATACCTATAACACACAGTTCTTTGGGTTCATGACTCTGTGATCTGAAGCACTGAATAGGAACTTCATAACTGGACTCTTCTAAGGTTCCTCTGTTCCTGGTATATAAACGCCTTAGGACAATAAATACAGCACAGACTGTACCTTGTCTAAGCAGTACATTTTTTGTGTTGTAGGAATGCTTGTATGCAGAAATAAAAGACAGCAAAAATGAGAACAGAATTGTCTGAGAAAGACAACAAATCAGTGAAGTTAAAAATAAAAGGTAGCTTTTTGCAAATCTCGGTAAGTGAGGCTATGAAAGATGTACAGAGCAAAACCTACAGATTCAGCATTTCACCTTAGAGAAACTGAAAGTATCTGGCACAATCCATATACTTTGTCTATGAGCACGTGTGAGATGGAGGGTGCCAAAAATCTTTAACACAAATGGCTGGACATATGCATACCTATGTGAAAACACAACAGCGTGTATTTTCACACAAGGGAATATTACAGGTGCCTGGAATACAGGCATTATTTCCATGTGAAAATTGCTACTCTTAAGCCTTTGCAGGGAGTATCTCTTTATGGTAACACTGCTCTGATTAAGCAGACCACCCGTTCCCAAACACCACCACCACCACATCAGTATCAAAGGCAGCTGTGGGGTTTTGTGTGAATGCACCAAGAATGCCTGTCATCAGGATGGTGAATTAAATGCTTAGGTATTGTTAGGCTACTGCTTCTAAGTAGCCTACTACTTAGGCTACTGCTGGGTGAAAAAAGAAGGATAAGAAGAAATACAGGGCAATCTGGCAACTAGACTTAGTTGCCTATTACCCTTATCACCTAAATTAGGTGTAATGCTTCCTGGCTTTTGTACACACACACATACCAAAATAAAAAAGGAGGTAGAACTTGAAACACTCCACACAGTTTTACCATGGGAAAGAAACCAATTCCTTTTACAGGAATTCTGGAAGACAACTCCAAGTACACAATGCAATACAGTGCACACAGACCTAGACACAGATGTAGACAAGCCAGTATGTGTACACATTATAGTGTAGGCAGACTTCCTACCTCTGGTCCTACAAAGAGGATAACCATGTTACATCAGCACCAGAACTGATCACTAGACTAAGACAATCTAGGCAGCATTTACTAGCTCAGAGGCAGCACAACTCTAACTCACCTGTACTCTTCTAGCTGGGGAGCACATTCACAGTATTTGAAGTTACAGCACTACACACTGTTACCTACTGAAGAGAAAGCTGAAGTCATCTACGTTATGCATAAAAATAATGAGGACTCAAAACTGAAAATGAAATTTCTTGGATCTATAAAAACATAAGCTAGAGTTTAACACTGCAGAATGTAACATACCCTTAGGAAGAGTCTGCAAGTTGACACTTCTCAGTGACAAAAGAAATTTAAAATCTTTTCCTCCTATTGCCTCTCCTCATTTAACACATTTTGAAATTTCATGATACATTTCTCATTCCAGACTAAGATTCTTCAGGAATATTAATTTAAAAATGAAGTTTTAATGCAGGATTCTTAATGCTTAGATTCTTTTTTTTTTCCCCAGTCAATTTTTTGTGCCCATATCTGGAATGATTTTAAAAGCAACCTTTCAAAAAAAAAAAAACAGCAAAAAATTTGTCCTGTTATGACACTTCAAGTTTGTGCATCCCATTTTTTGCTTGCGCAAATGCATTGATGAGAATAAATTACATCATATTTTGAAGATTTAGCACAGTTTGATCTTGGAAACAAAACGTTTACAATAATCTCAGACTAAACTGAGAAAGAAGTTTTAAACTAGGGATTTATTAGATCAGAAATAAACAAGCCTACACAATTTTGGCCACAGGGTCTTGAGGAGAAAAGAGAAGAGAAAGATGACTAAGAGGAAATGCAGATGTAGTCTGCATTCACCTACAGTACGTCATAAGGTCTTACCACAGTTACAAGTCATCTAACAATATAAAACTCTATAACTGAATTGACAACTACCTGTCAATCCCAGTACCTGGCAGATGTATGAATCCTAAACCAGAAATGAGGTGCAATTTTTTAAGCAAAGATGATAACTGATCACATGAAAAACATAAATAAGCTAAATTCTCTGTCACTTGGTAAGCCCTGCATCAAAACTCTAAAGATTCTGAAGTCTGCACTTAAGATCAAAGGCATGTGACTCTGCATCTGGTGGAATCAGGAATCACCAGATATTCTTTGGACAGGAGAAAATAGCATACAACACATGCAGCATTTAGTAAAAGGAGAAATAAATGACAAATTGTTCATACACAAATGGGGGTAACCCAGTGTTTGCTCCAAGTTACATCATAGCAACCCAGCTGCTTGAAGTGCTCTTCTTGCCCTCTTACAGCCCAGTGTGCATACACATGCACACATACCTACTTGTCTTTAACTCTTTTTGTGAAGCAACACTTTTAGATTCTCGGTTCTTCTTTATAAAAGGAGGAATGTAAAATAATTCCAACGTTTGATTTTGACAAGCACTGTGCAGATTAACAGTTTGCCATGAAAACATTGGAAGCGTTCTCATTTATTTCCTGAGAGTGAGTAAATACTCACAATACTTGCCTCATACACGTTGAACTGAGACTGCCCTCTCGATAACTCTCTGTAACTCGTTGTGAATTCTCCAATGAAATCATGGCTGTATAAAAAAGAAAAAGTTTTCAAATGAAATGCACAGCATTTAGTAATTTAAACATGCATTTTTTATATCTATTTATGAAAAAGAGAAGCACAGCCAATATGAACTGACATCCAAGAAAGAAGCTATGGTAAAAGATAGTTTAAAAATCTTTACTCCTCCCTCTGTTGTGTGTTCGCTCTATTTAGTAACAAAAATCTAGAGATGAAAAGTATTAGCTTAAATCTTTCCGATGACTCCTGCTTACCTTAGCTGCACCATGAGGACCTGGTTGTAAATTAGTGATCTGGCCCCAGCGTAAGCTTACAGAATCTGAAAAACCATCGTGGGCTATCAAGGACTATCACCATTTTCTCACTGGATGACCAGTGGCACCACAGATTCTGAACTGTGTGTGAGACTACGTGAGAGAAAGGGAGGTATTAAGAGTGTGAAAAGAATAACTTGAACCAGAAAAGACCAGCCCTACCAACTTCTGTAATGTGCCATTGAATGGTACTTTTAAGGGGAAGAGCCAAAGCTTATTTGAGCTTCTATGTCTTCCCATGTGGGAGGAGAAAAGCAATCCACTGAGGCTACTCAGCTTACAGTATTAGACACCATTGGAAAGTAGGTCTTAACCTAACAATAAAGCAGTGGTTATCAAGCTTCTCCTTTCTAAATTCTACTCCTTCTCCAAGAATACATTTGACAATCCTGTGCTGTCACCCACACTTTGAAAACTGCTTTGTCAACTCGCAACCAGGGGATGGCACGCTGCCGGGAAGCCACTGTGAGCAGGGTGGCCAGAGGGAGGGTAATGGATGAAGCATAGCTGAGAAGGGCAGCTGGGGTCAGGGAGCTGGGGCACAGAAACCACAGGGCGGCCAGAAATGACTGAACTGCAGGTTCCTCTTTCCGACAGGTCCCTGGAATGGCAGCAACCGCAGGGCTGAGTGCCTAACAACCGGCTACACAACTCCCAGCAGTCACAAGACCTGTTCCCATTCTCCACTCTTCCCAGCTGAACTTTCCTCACTGCTGCTCCAACTCCCATTCCCCCCTGCCCCAGCTCCTGTTTTCACAGCTGTTTCCTGGCAAGACGTTGTATCTCCTCTACACTCTGCCTCCACATCTGGTGAGCGACAAAACTAACTTTTTTACCTTCCCTCCAATGGTAAACTAGAATAGAAAGTCAAAGTTTTATGAATTTGTCACTTGTAAAATTTGTTTTTTTAAAAAATACAGCACACTTCTAATTAAGCTATAAATATTAAAAGCAAATTTAAATAAATCTGAATATTGCAAGAAGAGGAAAAATGGAAACAATCCACAGCGACATGAAATTTATTTCTTGATTTATTCATAATGAAATTAAATTAAATTAAAAAAAACAAACCCCAAATATAAATCTCACTTTCTGAAACTAGCATGAATTCACAAAATATGTAAAACAATTAAAAGGTCATACTAACGCACATGCAATAAACAAAGTATCCTGCAAGAAAGCTTAAGAAATACTATATGGTGAAGATATTCCTGATTACTCAGATACAGAAGGGACAATCTCTCATGAAACACTCCCAGTTTGGAGATCAGGAAATTGCTTCTGAGACAAAGACTTTTCCTAAGAAACACATTTTTGAGGTATCATCTCCTTAAATGCTCTCCAGATTGCAATGACTATTCAACCAGGGGAACAGAGGAAGTCAGCTGGAACTCATACAGGCTATGGAACCTGAGTTCTATATGGGCTGTAACACGTAAGGTGTATTTAACCTTGGGTAACCATGGCACTGGAGAAGAATCCACCTTGGTTATAGAGGAATCTTTCCCTTTCAAAACAGTTTTTACCTTAAATTTTCAAGTCAGTTTTTATATTTCAAAAGCAGAAATTCAAACAATAGCTCAGTGACTACATACAAACATGCTGCAGCAAACAGAGGAAATGTGAGCAATTCCACATAGGCTTGTCTCTGGGGGGAAAAAATAATCTGTACTGCTCAAAAGTAATTGCTTCCTTAATTCTAAGAGACATTGGAAAGCCTCCGTTCCTTGTGGCAATACACACAGACTGATAAGAACTGAGCTAGAAAGATATAATTCCTCTGACTAATCATGTTAAAAAGGTATGGGCATATATAGCCAGTCTCAGAGTTCTCTGCACTTAAAAGATCATCAACTTGGATCTTAATGCTCAGTATTCAGGTGGATGTATGCCCCCCCACTAGGCTGGCTCTGAAAGACAAGTGCCTCTTGGACAGTATTTGCCTTTGCCAGAAGTCTAATTCGTTAAGAAAAACAAGGCACCGATCCCTCCCAATATTCATGATCACACTTCACCAAGTGGATCTCCTTATTAATCCCTGGATTGAGAATCCAAAATTGTTATCCTCTTTGCCTTCCTAACACCAAATATTCCTAGACTTAAAGACTTTTAACCGTGAGTGGCATATCAGGACCCAGATTCAGAGACTCTTAGCACATAAAATAATCACTTGAACCACATCTCCCTAAATCTGCCACTTTCAGTACTATGCTTTGAAGTGCTGAAAATCACTTTCAGAATTGTATTAACTTTGATTTTTTTTTTAATAATCTAATGGAAAAAAACAATGGAGGAAAGGACAATAATCACCAGAAATATGTCAATGAGTACGAGGAAAAGTACCATATTCTAAAAATCAACTATCTAGCTGAAGAAGCGAGGATGAAGATGGAGGACAAGAAATAAGGTGAGAGCGCCTAGAATTTGAGATTTACAATCTCTCCTGCAGTGTTTAAATTCTCAGATGAATGTTTTGGTGGCCCTACGTTAGCATGGTAATATTTACAGTTCTAAAATTCAAGAAAAAAACACCACTTCTGCATAACAGATCATAAATGTCAAGGCTTTTGTACCATGTATGCTAAGCAACAATCTCTCTGAAATTAGGGAAAAAGCCTTCAGAAGGAAATAAAAAAATCAGAATATTGCGATGTGAAGTTGCATATCATCTTATTTTTTCTTTCTGTAAGACCAGTCTGCGAGTCCTTCATTGGTAAGGGCACTCAACAGAAAGTCACTTTGTTTCACACAAGTGGGCTTGTCCAAAGTAATAAATACAACTTTTGTGACTTCACATAGCACCAAATATTTTGGGGTTTGTCACAGCTCTTACAAGAAATAAAAGGGATCAATTAGAAGAAGTAGTTCACATTTTGGCAATTTTTGTGCAAAAACTGGTTTGAGACAGAGAAATGTTTAATAATTGTGTCAGTGTTACAAAGGTCCTGTGCTACCTTTTAGTCAAGAAATTTTAAGTGATGTTTGAAAATAAATGAGAGCTAAGAATATACAATTACTCTGAACAATGTAATTCATGAAAGCGACAGTAAGAAGCTCAACCCAAAGTACCCTGGTGCCGTTTTCCCAAAGCACAGATAACACAGAATGAGGAAAAAGAAAAAAAATAAGACCTAAGAAGTCAGAGTCAAGTCAAGATTCAGAAATCAAGTATATGCACAGTAACGTTAACTCACTGATTGCAGAATAACCTGCAATATTCAGTATAACTTGCTTTGCTATCTAGGCTGCATGATGATCTTTCAAAGTTCCTGCCTAGTCTGCACATCTCTGCAGCAGAGTCAGCCTAGTGAGGTGATCAGCTAGCCTAACAACTGTTTACAAACAAAGAGTCCATCAAAAATGGAAATGACTATAAACTAAGTAACATCATTGTACAAAAAAATTTACTAATTCTTGACTAATTGACTAATACAAAAAAAGACTAATTCTTGAAAGGGATTCACTTCAGATACATTTGGCAATATCAAAGTTAAATTAGGCACTTAGGTTCTTGCTACGATCACTAGTAAATCATAGGCACCACCAAAAGGCAATTTATTCCAGTTAGGATAGATTCAGTCAGACCATTTACCCCTGTAAGCTACTGAAGTAGCTTAAATAATTAGTTCAGTCTAGTTGTCCGATTTTTACATTGTCTGAAGTTACATTGAAATAAGTACTGTCTCATCTTTCTGAGGAATTTAACATGGAAGATGTCAGTGTTCTGCCTGGTTTTAAATTAAAAAAAGGTAGAAAGCAAAAGGCAAAAAAATCATACAACTAGAATAAAAAGAAATACATGTAAATGGTATTCTTCACTTTTTGTTTTTTAGATACTAATTTTATTGGTATTCAAAGTGAATATGATCAAAAGCCAGTAATCTTTCAAACTGTGGGAGAGTGTAGAGGTTAATGGTTGCCTGAATTCCACAGTATGTTGAAGATTTCACTCAAAATTGCAGCTACACAATATTATTTGTCAGATTTTTTCCTTTTCTTTTTAATCATAGCTCAGATCATTTCAGATTTTGGAGGAAATGGGACAGCATATGGGGTTTGATACCTTAATAAAATATAATATTGTTTTTTATTAATTTGGCAATACAATTTAATTTTTCACTGCTAGATTATTTTCAAAAAATATTGTCGTTTATACACAAAAGTGTAAACGTATCACATTTTTAAGGATTTGGCAAATCTACGTGAGGAACAGAGGATGTTAATAGAAATTCGTTACAGTGATGCAGTGATTTTTTGCTAATATGGCTTTGTTAATTTAAATCCTTGTGTTTTTAATTGCAGAATATGTTATTTTGTCACTCCAGGGAATATCTAATCAAGAAGGATGAATTTGCACTAGCAGGTATTTATAGAGGGTAAACATGTGATAAGAATGCTTATAAATAATAGGCTTCATGATGGAACCAAAAAGACAAAAGTATAAGCTGAGAAGGCTGAAACAGGTTTTGGACCGCACCAGCAAGGAAATGAATGGCAGCACAGGATAAATTTGCCTATTATGATTACAAGATCTATTGGGCCACAGAAGCACAATATTGTTAGCTATAATACCAGAAGCAAATTGCATTAGCAATGTTAAAGACATTACTGTATAATAAATAATATACTCTTAAAAATCCAAATGTAAATGCATATCCATATATTAATATATATTAAAATTAATAGAAAATAATTAAGACATACCAACTAAAAGTTAAATAGAAATCAATGCATTCTTGTATTACATACAAGTTTTAGTACCACGATTTATGGGTACAGTTTCTAACCAAAATATTAAGATACAAGCTCAAACATATTTAACAGAACAAGAGGTATCAATCTAGTCTGATTAAAAAAAAATCTCCCATTTGTCAAAATAAAGGCAATTTGAAAGGCTAATTCCTTCAGAAAAAAAGGTACACTCAGTACTGACAGCAAGCTTGAATCATAACAGATTGCTCCTCTTGAATTTAGCAACAGAAATTCCATGTATATTCCACCATCCTCTTTCTAGCAATGGAGTTTAAATCCCAGGTCTTCCCACTCGAGTTTACAACAACTTTTTGATGAAGACAGGCATGGAAATGAACATTCAAACCCAATCTGAAATTATGCTAATTAATGGGTAGGTTCTACATTGCAATATCTAGGCAACCCTGAAGCAGCAATTGTGGGCTCGGGCGTTTTGTCATACTTGAAAAGCAAGAGTTTATGAAGCAGTGTTTTAGGCAAAAGAAGGTAGATTATAAAATGGATTATCCCTCTATTCATACATGTACATTAACTGATAACGTAATGAGATTCACAAAACTGATTTTACAGATCACAAAGCATTCCAGCTTGCTGCTTCTGCGTATGAATATACACACGTCAGGTTTGAAATGGCCTAATACATCAGCATTTACCACAATTGCAAAACACAACAGAACTGTAGCACAGCAAAACTTTTTTAACAGTACCGTACTTCTAAATATTGATAAATACCATCCTGTAGTCCTGTTCTGGCCACTATATATTCATACAATTTAAAACTTGTGTATAAATATGCATGCACAACTCTGAAGTTTAACAGTAGAATTAATATCTTACCTTCCATCTCTATCCCAATCGTACACTTCTACTTTAATTGTCCTAAAAAAAGTAAAAAACCACAACCCTATTAAAATATATATTAAAATGTACCAGGATTGCCTTTAATACTTGTATTTTAATAGCATACAGGTGCGTGAATTGTGCCAAATCCATAATTTCCCAGTAGTTTCTCAGAAAATAACAAGTCACTCAGTTTACCCAATATATCTTTATAAATTAATAGTAAAATACAGTGGAAGCTAAGGAAAAAATTAAACATATTGGAAGTTTAACTGATAAATTTTTACTTGCTGATGCTCTGAATTTTCTGTGGGTTTTTACAAATTATTGTTTAAACCTTAAAGTATTACCAAAGCTTTTAAGAACATTAACAAACCGGAATTTATTGTGAAAGCTTCTTTGGTCTATGCTATTATCTGGAAAAGGAATATCTATTATTAGGGATAGTAACACAGAAAAAAGTAGTATATCCATATTTGAGAACAAGTGTCCAGAGATTGAGAGGGCCCTTATAAAACAAAATTATTCGACAGCAAAGTACAAATTAAAAGCAATGTTCACAATACAAAGTAAAGCACATTTAAAGCAGTAAGGATTCCTAGTCTGTACATTGTGGTTCTTAAATGAAAATAACTACTCCAGAATACAGTAAAACTTCAATCTGGTAGACAGTATTAACCTTTTCTAAACATTGTACAGTGGTGACAAATGAAAACTGTGTGAGATCCACCCAAGATTTTGTGAAGGCCCTGCCTGTGGCTGCAGAAGAAAGAAATTTGTATTCTTTAAATACTGCACTTTTCCCCTCTTAAACTTCCCCCTGCCTTTCAAGAGAGGAGGAGGCTACTTGGCTATCTGACCAAAGAGGACAGAAAAGTGCAACATAATTTTGTTTTAAATTCCTATAAAGCCAACAGGATAGTTGTTTAGTTCTTTCATCAGACTACACTTGATAACGATCAGATTATACAGCATAACCACGACTCTGGCTTCCTAGAATGAAATGGGACAAGCAGACTGGGGTATGGGGGGGGACATGACAGAGGCAGACTCTGGGACCAGTTCTTCCCAAACTGACAGACTGCCCTGGACACTGTGGGAATACTCACCCTCCTCTTAGTGAATCAGGAACTGGTGGGCAAGATGGGTAATAAAATGTTAAAGTCTGACAACACACAAGTACTCAGTGCAAACACTTTTTCAACAGAAGAACTAATTAGAATTTATTTAATTCAAATCAGAATTGAAAACCAAACTAGTAGCTTATTATATAAACAAAATAATACATGGATCCAAAATATTTTCCCACAGTATAAAACAATAACTAATTAGCAAATTTTCAGAGAAGTGCTTCATTAAAAACGTTAAGTATATAACGGTTTCAAACAGTTTCTTGAGCATCCCTCTGATGAATCTGCAACTGGCTACTGTGTGAATCATGATACTGAGACAGGATACCGAAACAGTTTAATTAAATGTATGATCCAATAAGCAAGCTCATGGACCTCCTATGTATTACTTCACATTTATGAGATTATACCTCTCTTAGGAAGAAAGGCTGAGAAGAGTTCGGGTTGTTCAGCCAGGAGAATAGAAGGCTTTGGCATGACCTTATTGTGGCCTTTTAACTATATAAAGGGGGCTTGTAAGAAAAATGGGGACAGAATTTTTAGTAGTGACAGAACAAGGGGAAATGTTTTTAAACTGAAGGAGTTTAGACTGGACATGACGAAGAAATTTTTGACAATGAGGGTGGTGAAACACTGCCATAGGTTGCCCAGAGAGGCTGTGGATGCCCCATCGCTTCAAGTGTTCGAAGTCAGGTTGGATGGGGCTTTGAGCAACCTGGTCTAGTTGAAGATGTTCCTGCTCATTGCAGGTGTGGTTGGACTAGATGACCTTTAAAGGTCCCTTCCAACCTAAACTATCCTGTGTTTCTATACACATGTAAAAGCTGCAAATGGAAGATGAATGTGGAGATGAACTGTTTTTTTTATGAGTAAAGTGAACTTCAGAGGACAGCTCTAACTATTCTTGCTTCAGGGATGACTGGGATATAGATAAAACGTAGAAAAAAAAAATTCCCATGTAAAGAATCAATCTTATTTTTGCATGCTTACTTGAAGAGTGGATTTCTTAAAATGCAAATACTATAGAGCATATCATCATCAACAACATTAATGAAACAGGAAACATCTATCAAGATGGAGACAGTATATAGTTTTATTTATCTCCTTTTACTACAGAGTGTATATGTAAGTAAATTCAATGACCAGTAATAATGAATCCTATGCGTCCTAAAATAAACTGAACATGGGCTAGAAAAATACTACCTCCAGATTTCCTATATTTTAAGAAAGACTTGCTTATTTTTATTCTTCAGAACAGCTTCACATGAAGTGAACTCATCAGGTCTGTGGTATTAATAGAGGGAACAGGAATCTAAGCAATTGCTTTATAATTTGCTTCTATGGAAGCTGCTCCCCATTATTCCTATGAGATACAGTTGTATACATGTTGAATAATTTTCTTTACTAGGAAGGGACTCTTTGGGTATAAGGTTGATCAACAGCTGATATCACGTACACCAACAAATTAATGCCTAGATGTTTTTCACATTTTTAATGATATTCCAAAATAAGCAAAGGAGTTGCTTTATCTGTATGTTTCTCTTTTCAACTCAAATTTAATGGCTCTTACCACACTGTTTGTTACATTTTATCTCTTTTGTGGAATTTCAGTTTGGGGTTAAGGTACCTTAGAATGAAAACTGATTAAAGTGAAAGTTGGTCTGTGGAATGAAATCAAGAAGAACTCCAAAACCTACTTTATCCCACCAAGTATTTGACCCTTGAAATGAAACAGTATTTAATTTAGTAATAAAGGCAGTATCACAGGGTTTTTTTTCCTAGACGACCATTATTTTACTTCCAGGTTTCAAAACCTGTTACTATTAAGATAGACAGAACACACTAGTAAGTTAAGACTTACATAAGGTTTAGCAGGACTTAAGTTTTGAATTGTCCTACAAATCTGTGTTCATATAGCCAAATCATCTCGGAGAGAAAACTTGAATTATTAAGATAAATTCTTAAGATTATCAAGATAAATTCTTGAGAAGGATCTTCAGCCATGCAACTTTAATAAGAGCAATTCTTCCTTGAATAAAGCTCCTCTCTCCTGAAATTTATTTAACATTAAAAGGATTGATCACAGATCTTGAGTTTTACCTATTCTGCATGACATGCAAGATATTAAAGGCCTTCCAAATCTTCACATACTGATATTTTACCATCTCTACACTGCTATTTTATCTTAAAGGACACAGTTTTGAGGATGGGTTCTCTATTTTAATTTTTAAAAATGTAATTTAAAAAAAAAATCAAGGTTAGAGAATGTTGGGGTTTAGCGTATCTCTGTCTTAAAAAGTTTATGCAGAAAATAACCGTAAGTGCTATTTGAGAGCTCATATTAAGAGAAAGAAAGAAGAGAACAAAAATATTAGAGATACTAAGTACTACCATAATACTGAAATCCCATCCCTGTGATGGCTGAAAACATATTGTATGATTATGCAGTCTGAGAGAAATGAAGCAAATCCTAGCCTTTTCACAATGAAAAAGTGGACAGAGTTCACTCATAAGCATACACTAACCGAAGATTTACTCTCCCCAAAACCAGAATGAGTTTACTGTGATATATTCTTACTAATGACTTTATTCCTACCTTTCAAATCTATCACAGAACCCAGAGCACCAAAATTTGATCTGTGAAACCATCATTATCTGAAAGAGACTTTTGGGGTTTGCGTTTTTATGTATTTTATGTATTACTGTGCTGAGCTGAGGAATCTAATCCTTACCTTTAGAAAGAAAAGTTTGCAAGTAAAAAAACCCCAAACTTCGGATGCTTGTTCTGGACTATCAGCAGATACTAATTTGAATTAATCTGACAGCTAACAAGTATTTCCTGATTTGAAACAAGATTGTTGTAGGCAGGATTATGAAGCTCCATGGAGCCTTTTATTCATAAGGCATTCACTGAGCACATTATGTTGAAAGCATTCAAAGTAAAATCAACATGAGAAAACAGCAGTTACACAATAATTTGAGGCATGCTATTATACTTTTTAATTCTCTTTTGGAATGCTGGAGTTATTTCAATATGCCTCTACCACAACATCTTTTTTAATTATTATGAAAACCTTTTTTCTTTAATATGATAAATAGTGCAGTGTCCAGAGACTAACTTCATGATCATTATTTTGCTTATGCATTATGCACATGAACCCATATACAAGTTAAAAATTCTATTAGATTAGAATGTACTTATTATGAAATTGCTGCATTTTTATTGCATCTAATTGAAAGAGTAACCAACATGGCTAACAACAACTGTATCAAGTACTTCACAAGGAGAGTGTTAGCAATATAGGAGAACCCTTTTTCCTTCAGTTTGAAGGAACATGACATCAACTACTGGAAGAGTATCACAGATTAAATAAAGCAGCTAAGATCCGGTAGGAAAGACTAAAAATGTCCGTTCCCCAAAAAATGATTTAAAAATACCACTTTCCTACGGTAAAAAAAATCACAAGTCAATTAGCCTTTTATTTTTAAATAAGCTGCTTATAAAGACAGTGCTTTAAGTTTATTATTGTGAAAGCATTCTGCTTAGCTTACTGAATATAAGCACTTCTTACTCTCCTGCTTCTTCATATTGACTACTGAGATTCAGTCTATTGATTCAAGACTTGGTTTGTTTAACCCCTGGCATCACCTAGTAAATTACAAGTTGAAGGAATGCCTCCCTAGAAGATTAGGCTTTCATGGTAACCAATTAAAATAATTTTAGTGTACATATTTCACTGAATAATTAGCTTGACAAAGTAATGCAACAGAGTTATGACATGGCAAAATCATGTATTACAGTAACCTAAAATGTATATGAATGGATGGTAATCACATAAATGGAAGCTGAAAATAAAAACTGAGGTAGAAAAGTAATTACTTAAATGTCAAATTCAAGATTGTTACAGACACACACTCAATAGAAAATTATCAATTTGAGCAAA